AACTAACTTAAAGCAGAACTCAAGAACCTGAAAGATTCCATCTGTAACCTGGAATGGGAATCCTCCAACGGTCTAAGACACTCGAACAAATTTCATAGGGCTTACGACCGAGAAAAATCAAAGATTTTTCTTCGTTTAAGTAAGAAGAATCTTCGGATTATCACGGTTTTTAAGAGGACATTGTCTCCTCAATGAACACCTCAGTAGATTGAAGCTAAGAAACAACGGCGAATGCAGATTCTGTGGGGAAAATAGGGAAACACCAAAACACCTCATCACTGAGCGCTGAGCACATTGACGACAACCATTTGGGTTGTCGCAACTAACGTCGCGTCCCCACGCCTAACAGCCACGATCAAGAACATCTTCCTCTTTGAAGTTACGGTCCTCCATTGCCCTTCTGATGGCCTCATTCCAGGATCTTCTAGGCCGTCCTCGTTTCCTTTTTCCAGGAGGTGACCAGCTGTAGATACGGTAGGGCCACCTTTGGTGTTCCATGCGTAGCAAGTGTCCAAACCACTTAAAGCCCCTCTGTTCGACTCTATCCACTATTGTCTGTGTGGCATCCATTTTGGCTCTGATTTCCACGTTCCTAACTCTGTCCAGTTTAGATACTCCCGCACTGCGTCTCAAATAGTCCATTTCGAGTGCATTCAAAGCTCGCTTTTGTTCAGCTTTTAAGGTCCAAACTTCACACCCATAAGTTACTACCGACTCCACTAGGGCTCTTCCAATATGTACTTTTGTTTTTGGTCTTATGTTTTTGTCCCACCAGATGCCATTCAGTGCTCCTGTAATCTTCCGCCCTTGTTCTATTCTAGCAGATACTTCTGTTTTGTCCAGTCCCTTTCTGGTTATACGTGCCCCCAAATATTTAAACCATTCAACCTGTCTGAGCTTTGCATTGTCAGTAATAAAAATGTCAAATTTATCATCTGAATTGGTGACTAGATATTCCGTTTTATCAATGTTCACAGTAAGGCCCCATTCCCTGTATGCTGAATTTAATCTGCTCATCATGAATTCAAGGTCGTAAGCATCTTGATCTATGACCACCTGATCATCGGCAAAATTCAATGTAACCAAACAGTCATCTCCTACAGGGACGCCCATTCCTCCACACCTCTTCTTCCAGTCTCTAAGAACCACTTTCAAATACAGATTAAATAAAAGAGGCGACAGAGGACATCCCTGTCGAAGACCTTTAGTTGTAAAAATTACCTCAGACAGTTTGTTACCGCTCTTAACACGAACTGTGTTGTTGTTGTACAGCACCTTAATTAAATTTATGAGACATTCATCCACATCAAGTTGTTCCAGTATGTACCATAGTTTAACTCTGGGGATAGAGTCGTAAGCTTTTTGAAGATCTACAAAAGCTAGATGTGTATCTTCTTCACGTGAATTCCGTTTTTCTATCAGTTGTTGGATAGTAAATAGATTATCTATACATGAACGCCCTGCAGTAAAGCCACTCTGCTCTTCACTGATTTTGTTGTAAGTAGATATTTCTAACTAATTTCTAATTACTTTTGTAAAAAGTCTGCTGAAGGTGCAATTTACACTAAGACCTCTGTAGTTATTCGGGTCTTTTCTGTTCCCTTTTTTATATATAGAAGTGATATAGGCTAACTTCCATTCATTAGGTATTTTATTCCGATCTACACACATCTGCATTAAGTTGGAGAACTAACGTCTGTAAAACCATTTCAGATACAGGCTTTTGTCAAAACCCTGGGACTGTATGATGAGTTATAACTCAAAAAAGGAGGAAACAGTAGATCTATGTATAAAGTCGACGTGATTAACTTAATCTACAAGGGTATCTTCTTCAGTAAATCTTTATATATAGATATTCATTGAGCTGAATATAGACACATGCAATAAAACAGTAAATACAAAAAACACCCAGAGCTGAAATGTATAATTTGTGAAAGGACTGAACAGTTACAGTAAATCGTAATCGCAGCTGTAATATTTCTAATAATAATTACCCAGCGATAATAACACACCTGACACCTCTTAATTCAGTTACGTCTTGACCTGCCGCCATTAGGACATTAATATCAAGTTGCTTGGAAATATTAGGGCCGGTGTGGAATATATCGCGCCTCTCACGCACACATACCGCTTTCCTAATAACACTAAATAACGTGAAATTTATATGGCCTCACGGGCCGTTTTTGGGAATATCACGAAACGCTAGCGAGGGATATGGTTACCGCGTCATGTGATTCACGTCCTGCTCGTGGTATTCCACTTTCCGTAATCAATCTTACCGGAGACATACTTGGTACTCCATTGGCGTATCTTGTACTACCATGCAGAACTATTGAATTAAAATATTGGTGGTACTTATGTAATCGATATTTGCAATAGTCTAATTATTTTTCTATAGACAAAGTGAACGTGATACTAAAAGACTTTCGGACTTCCATTTCCGTTTTTAGTTTTTTAATTTACAAAACCTTTCTTTCAGATGTGTCACTGACTGTTATCAAGTGTAAATTAATATAAATCATAAATATTCTAGAGAAAGACATTCAACCGTGAAAAAATTGGGTGCAGTGAAGAGTGAGTTTGTCACTATCTTTCCACACGCCTCTGTCCACACTACTTTATGTTATAACGTATGGTCCTAAACTTTTGGGAACATTTTTATTTGGTTTGGTTAAGTAATAAAATTCATTTAATGAAGTAGTCATGGTAATGAAATGTCATCAGTCAAGTCACTTCAATAAACAAAGCAAAAGATTTTGGGTTTTGCTTCTTATAATATCTTATAAAATTGATCTTCATCGAGGAGTTTATAATCTTGTTGGACGAATGGCGAAACGAGATATTACAATCATTTAAACTAAAAAAACTGGTAATACAAAACTAAAGTGTCAAAACGAATGACAATGTCAGGAAATGAATGAGTAAATGCGGCAACTGGACATTTTTTACAGCAGAGCTACCACCTGAATACCCAGTGCGAAATTTAAATTCCAGTTAGTCAGCACGGCGCCGAATGTATTCATAGTTTGGCAAGAATGAATTTAAATTCGCAAGGTTAATCACGTGACTAAACGTTTATTTGGTATGAACTATATTTTAGTTACTTATAAAACTGTAAGTAAACCATCCATATTTCTCAACTGCTCTCGTCTTCGTGCATCATTTCTCACACGAAAATTTATCGGCGCGCCAATGCCGGACCGGTTTTGCAGCTACGGAGCATCCGAAATGACCTTTAGCTTCATTTCCGTCTTCGCCAATCAATTACACTGCGAGAGTTCACAACCGGAGAGAAGTAGGTCATGCAGTATTAAAATTTGATTACGACCGACCTACCAGGGAGTTCTCCAAATTCTTCGCGACTTTCGTGGCTCGCCTCACCTCTCACCTTTGACGGCGTTCAAACGCCATTATTTGTAAGCGCAAATTATTTGCCATTCACGAATCCAATAATTAATAGATGCGTCAGTGTCGGACAGATATACCTTTTTGTAATGGGCATTATTGGAGGACGTGTTTGTAATTAAGTTTTTGCCGCCCGTATCATTTATCATCGGTTACGTGAGCTGGTGTCGGTTTACTTTCGGTTCTATTGTATTTTGTTTTCCAATTCTTTTAACCGAATCTATTATTTAAGCGTTGCAAAATTAGTAATGCAATTGAAACCGTATTATTAATGTATCTTAGGAAATATTTAAATAAATACATTTTTGGGAGAGGTATTTTGTTAGGTGTGTGAAATTAGTGATGCATGATATCGCAAGATAAATTATTTTGATAATTAAACGTAAAGTACCTTTTACCCATAACGTTTTACCTTACGTTTTGTCTGTCAGTTAAAATAACTCTAAACCGTCTAGAGAACTGAGCTAGAATGTCATACTTGAATTGGGGCTAATATTCCGGTTCCTTCAACATTAACAAAAACACTGTTGTAGATTAAGGAAAGCTCTCTGTTATTTCCAATAAGAATAAAAACAACGGAGCTTCCAGCTGTAAAATATAGAGGGTGTTCTAATATTCCGTGGACATAAAACTACTATGTATTTTTGGAATCAAAATATGTTTATTGGAATATTTACCTAGTTCACAAAAATATGGAATCTTGTATTGGTTACTATCACAAATAATATTTGACAAATTAAAATTAATTAACGTTGGCGTTTAGTTTTGATTGATGCCCTCTAATGGACAAACGAAGCACTTTTGTATAAAGGTAAATTATGTGCATTTAACTTATTTAGACTCAAAAAATACCTACGCCATTTATATATTTTGCAGGGGAAAATAAATTCTCCAAAAAGTTTTTCCTCAAAAACCTATGCGATGTGGCGTTTTTTACAAGAGACAAAAAAATGTAGTAAATACAGAAGATCTGTCGTCGGTCGAGTTGGAAAATATTTATACTAAAATTTATGTAGGATTGTGGGTAGTTTTCACTTTTTACCCTTCCCGACTGTTTCTGATTTTTGTGAAAGTCAAACGTTGAAGCATTTAGCAAAACATAGACACCCAAAATCTGATTCAAATCGGAATAATTCTTACGATATCTGAAAAAATGTTGTTTTTCAAAGTTTGATGCCCTCTAGCGGAGAAACACAGCACTTTTGTAAAAAGTGCTGTGTTTAAGGTAAATTGTGTTCAATGAACTTGTTTTTATTCCAAAAATTCGTAGTATTTCTACGTCCACGGAATAGTGAGACACCCTGTATAACATCTGTGGTTATTTTCTAAACATTTTCAGCAAGCAGGAATTAGAGAAATATTTGAAAATGCTGCTTTAATTTGATAAAAGTTGCTTTTTTTAATATTTTTTCTGTTAGTTCTGATAAGAAAATAAATCGGTAAATACAAAAACTCTATGTTTTAATTTACGGATTATCGGTAAATTTGCAATTCCTATAACCCTGTAAGAAAAATGTTAGAACCATTTTTAATATAAGATAATCGTCATCACTTTAGCTTTTTCCAAATTAAATATTTCTTTCATTTTATTTCAGATAATGCCAAAATAAAAGTCCCAGGACTCAAGACTCTAAGTAAAGTCAACTTTGGACCAAGATGGATACGTTCCGCAGGTTATTTCTAGTGTTCAGTGGTTTAGTGTGTCTCGTGGACGTAGTGCTATCGGCCCGATGGTCCCATTCGACGTACCTGAGCCCCGATTATCGGCTCTTGTGGTCCTTGGGACCGGGGCCCCAGGATATCACGTTCGAAGTGCAAGTGAGAACCCTTGGATACGTTGGCTTTGGATTTTCCAGGGACGGCAGGATGGCCGGAGCCGATATGGTTGTTGGCTGGGTGGATCAGGGACAAGTCTATTTCCAGGTAAGAATTGTGGTTATGTCATAGATAAAGGAAACACGTTTAGATTGGAAAGTGCCCATAACGATAATGTAAATACTATTGGGCGCTATTTTTACAACGGTCGCTCTCCAAAGCTTTTGATAATTTCGGAGCGGTTCGACTTTTTCCGGAATTATGTCGCCAAATATTACTTATTCAAATTTATTATTTTCTTTTAATTTTTTAAATAAAATACAGTGTTTATTTAAGGACATGTATGAAATACCTATGAAACATACGTTATGCCACGATCCACGATGGTTTTTGTAATTCACAGTTCTCACAGCTTTTTAACTTTTTAATGCCAGATTTTCATAATTATCACGGGTTTGAGTAAATAAAATTAAAACGGTTTAAATTTTGCAAGATTTTATAATTTTTGAAGATTCTGGCTTTGATAAGGGAGAATTATTTCTGTTCTTGTTTACGGTTGTTCTTAGCAACCGCTATAGCAGCGCCAGATCCCGTATAACGTATGATCCCCAAAACAATTAGAAGTTTTGGCGGCAAGCCGAGCATTCCAATATAAACTTGTTTCCTTCATCTATGGATTATGTTTCTTGTAAGTTAAAAGATTTGTCCCTTTAATTTCAATGTAGGCATTCAGAACGTCAAAATTTCTGGTAGTCATTTTCAATTAGTAGAAAAAGTTAACAAACATTTAACTTTTCCACTGATTATACTTCAAAACCTATAGGTACTATATTAATATCTTGAAAACCATTTGTAAGAAGGAGTATTTTATCATCCTATGTTTTTCAAAGTACTATAATTTTAATTTTACAATTGGGGCAAAACTTAACTTCAATTTCCTTTTCTGTTTCCAATTAAACCTTTTGCTAATTAATTGTTAATTAAATATTTTTCCAGTTCTACTGGTGTATTTCCTATTTCTGACATTGTAAATTTAAAATTACCGATAATTTGACAATGTCAATCATTTTAATGATCAGATTATCATTTCTAGATTCGTTATAAGGCAAACAGTTGTTAATGAGGATATTTATCCTCATCAACAACTTTTATCCTCATTTTTTTCCCTTTTCTTTGTTTAATTTTGTAAGCAAAAATACAAATGCATTCTCACTGTCAAATAGAGTTAATAAAATGACATTAAAAGTAGATCAGAATATATAAACATTAAATTTCATTGAATATTTATTAATTATCATATCATACACTTTATGCTTATTATATTATAACACGGCAGTTACTTTCTTTTTACTGTTTTAAGTCTATAAAATACAACTCTCCTGTAAAATTCTTTATGTATTTTTTTAAATTATGTTTCTTTACAAACTTGAATATGGTTAATCTTAATGACGTATTTTTATAAACATTAAACTTGTGGTCCTCAGCGTTTCTTTATGGTTAATTAAAAAAAAACTGTTATTTTTTAATACACCGAAAAAAATATTAACATAATGAAGCCAAATTTAATGAATGTCTTTAGAAGCATTCGTAGAGATTTTTATCGTTTATTAAGGTTGAAAATACCACTTGCAATTTTCTTGCAACATAACGTCAAGACTTAAATAATAACATACTTAATAAATATAGTCATTATAGGTCATTTTATTTGTCATAAATTAAAAAAAAATATGTTTTCCAAAATAAAATGAAAATGATAACTTATTAGATAGTTAGATAGATATTTACAATTTAGTTTACAAATTAAGTAAAACATGCATTAAGTGATAAATGGTATTTTGTTTAATTTTCTAAACGTAACCAACAAGTTTAGCACATATTATTCTGCCGACTTTTTATTTTCTTGCAAGGTTTTGTATTTACCTAGATATTCGCTTATCTAGTTAACAAAGTTGTGCTCTGATTGCCGGCACGTGTGCCGAAAGAGGAGCAGCATGTAAAACACAAATACTCAAAAACGAGCGAAGATAACCAGCTGGTAGTTAATAAGCTGTGGATCTTGTAGAATGTGGTATGTATGGGAGGGGGGTTAAAATTAGTTATAACGAGTTATAACTCATCATACATTTTCAGAGCTTTGACAAAAGTCAGTATCTGACACAGCTGTTGATAGTTACAGCTAGGATAATTAATTTTTAAAATTATATGAGCAAATACACTGTTGAAAAGGAATATTCAATCAATCTTTTTAAAAAAATTTAGATTGTACATTGTAATCAATCATAAAACAACCAAATTACTACTGCCAAGAACATGCGAGTTTTCGTTGTGTACACATAAAAAATTTACTGCTTTAAATTTACTAATGGAAAACGTTCATAAAAGTTTACGGTTCCTTAATTGAGACAGCCGTATTCATCGGCGAGGTGTCTTTTAGATTAGAGTTTTTTCGGTAGAAAAAACACTTTCCGGCTGCTTTATTAGTCGATTATTTTAAAGATATCTTTAGGAAGGGCCTCCTTCCATTAACAATAATTGGGATATTATCAAGCAAGATTTATAATAATTTGTTTGGGTAATTTGGATAAAAATGGCGCGCCGCTTTATCAAACTTAATTTTATGTAATCTGGAAATTGATAATTTATATTTTCAGGGTACGGAGAGAATTTTAAAGGACGGTAGTTTGTGATTAAAATGGAGAAATAATGAGCAGGTTGCTTTAAGTGCTTTCATTTTGCAAAGGGGAATTGATAAACCTAATTAAATATTGCAACGATTAATGAAAATGTCACAACTAAACAAAAAATCTGCAATTTTTGGTAAAATTGTTCCTGAGAGAAGAAATCTATTATATTAATACCTTTTTATAACCTAGCAATTTAATATTTATTAATTTGCTTTAAAACAATGTCTTCTAGGACTGACATTATTATCACTAATCGTTATCAAGTAAAAATTAACTAAAGCTTCATTCAGAACCTCGCAATTAGTGGTTTCAATTAGCGTAGAAGTTTGTTCCTTTAATTTCAATGTAAGCATTCAGAACGTCAAAATTAGTGGTAGACATTTTCAGTTAGTAGAAAAAGTTGTCAAACTTTTAACTTTTCCACTAATTATACTTCAAAATGTCAATTTGGCCTTTGATTATCTTCCGTCAAGAGAAATTGTGGTTAGAAATCAAAAATTGATTGTTTTATAAGATGAATATTGGGCTTTCTCTATGGATACAACTGACTAACGCAAGCTGTTGTTAGGATATTCTATTAATTTTATTTGTGTTTTTTAGACATTATGAATGATCGTAACCTAAAAAGTATAAAGTGTAATTGAAACCACTAATTGCGAGCTTCTGAATGAAGCTTAAGACTACTAAAGCTACTTTTAAATGCTAGTTGAAGTTAGAATTTTAGAATTTAGAATGAGTGGGAGGGGGGTTAATCACTTCGACCTTACAGATCCATTGTGCCCCCCTTTCTTGAATCATAACTCATCATACAGTCCCAGGGCTTTGACAAAAGCCAGTATCTGGGACGGTTTTATAGAGGGTAGTTCTCCATCTCCAATATCAGTCGTACCAAAATTCATGGCACGAATGGTTGTCGTCTCGGCGCACTCAGTGATGAGGTGTACTGGTGTTTCACCGTCTTCCCCACAGAATCTGCATTCGCCGTTTCTTCTTAGTTTCAATCTACTGAGGTGTTCATTGAGGAGACAGTGTCCTGTTAAAACCCCGTGACAATCCGAAGATTGTTCTTACTCAGACCCAGGAAGATCTGTGATTTTTCTTGATCATAAGCCCTCAGAAACTTCTTTCGAGTGTCTTAGACCATTGCAAGATTTCCATTCCAGGTTGCGGATGGAATCTTCCAAGTTCTTGAGTTCCGCCTTGAGTTGGTTACCACTTGGAAAGCAGAACGGTTCTGGTCCAGTTAGTGGAGTGTTCGCTCCTTTCCTAGCTAGATTATTTGCTTTTTCATTGCCTTCTATCCCTTGGTAGTTGAAGTTAGTGGACAATATTAAATGTGATAGCATGTTTCCACATGTTCTTTATATCAATGATCAATCAGTCTGACTAAAGGTGTTCAGATTATTGTGCCTATGGACCGCTTCCTTCAAGTTCCTGATAAATCAGGAAAACATCTCTTGTTAATTATTTTGTCCTCCAATCACTGATCATGTGCTAATTGCCCCACACATGTTTTTCCGATGTTCCTTGCTTCGTATTGGTAAGAATCTCGATACACCACACTTATATAGAATTCTGTAAATACAATTTCATTGATTTGTGTTATTTTCATGTTTTGTTTTGCTTAAAGAACTCTTTAGGCTTACCATAGACGTAAAAACTTCCTTAATTTTTTGTTCAATCGTCTATACTTTGTCACTAATTATACTACTTTATAGTAAGGGATACAGCGCAATGTAGTTTCTCAAGACTTATGACCGAGGAAATTCAAAGATTTTCCTTGATTTAAGAAAGAACAACCTTCGGATTGCTACGGAGTTTTTAACAGGACTAAGAAAAACTAAGAAAAAAAGGACCAAGATAAACTAAGAAAAGGACTAAGATAAACTAAGAAAAAACTAAGATAAACTAAGAAACAACGGCGAATGCAGATTGTGTGGGTAAAATGGGGAAACACCTGAACATCTCACACTGAGTGCGCCGAGACGACAACCATTCGTGCCGTACACTTTGGTACGACTGATCGGAGATGGAGAACTAACCTCTATAAAAGCGTCTCAGATACTGGCTTTTGTCAAGGCTTTGAGATTCTGTTCGGGATGATGATGATCTTAACTACGTTGCTCTCTATAGGTTACTACAAAGGAATCAAAAACAAAATACGAGTATATAAAGAGCTGTTAGGCCTTAAGAAGTGTTTTAAATAAAACAAAAACCTGAAGATAACAAATATCAACCAAACTGCATTTACAGGGAATTTATCAAGAACACTTTTTTTAGTGAATAATAGAAAAAATATTCTCTAATGTAAAATCAGTAATGACTTATTTTAAGTAAAATGACGTTCCAGATGAAACATTAAAGATTCCTTCGTAGAAAAACGATCGACATAAAACCGTTTTCTCGTCTAATACAGATTCTCTT